CAATAGCAATAGCAATAGCAATAGCAATAGCAATAGCAATAGCAATAGCAATAGCAATAGCAATAGCAATAGCAATAGCAATAGCAATAGCAATAGCAATAGCAATAGCAATAGCAATAGCAATAGCAATAGCAATAGCAATAGCAATAGCAATAGCAATAGCAATAGCAATAGCAATAGCAATAGCAATAGCAATAGCAATAGCAATAGCAATAGCAATAGCAATAGCAATAGCAATAGCAATAGCAATAGCAATAGCAATAGCAATAGCAATAGCAATAGCAATAGCAATAGCAATAGCAATAGCAATAGCAATAGCAATAGCAATAGCAATAGCAATAGCAATAGCAATAGCAATAGCAATAGCAATAGCAATAGCAATAGCAATAGCAATAGCAATAGCAATAGCAATAGCAATAGCAATAGCAATAGCAATAGCAATAGCAATAGCAATAGCAATAGCAATAGCAATAGCAATAGCAATAGCAATAGCAATAGCAATAGCAATAGCAATAGCAATAGCAATAGCAATAGCAATAGCAATAGCAATAGCAATAGCAATAGCAATAGCAATAGCAATAGCAATAGCAATAGCAATAGCAATAGCAATAGCAATAGCAATAGCAATAGCAATAGCAATAGCAATAGCAATAGCAATAGCAATAGCAATAGCAATAGCAATAGCAATAGCAATAGCAATAGCAATAGCAATAGCAATAGCAATAGCAATAGCAATAGCAATAGCAATAGCAATAGCAATAGCAATAGCAATAGCAATAGCAATAGCAATAGCAATAGCAATAGCAATAGCAATAGCAATAGCAATAGCAATAGCAATAGCAATAGCAATAGCAATAGCAATAGCAATAGCAATAGCAATAGCAATAGCAATAGCAATAGCAATAGTAATAGTAATAGTAATAGTAATAGTAATAATAATAATAATAATAATAATAATAATAATAATATAATATTAATGATATACTATTGATATTACTTATATTAACTATTTATTGGATTGACAACTAAGTTCCCGCCGTTTTATATCTATAATTAATCAATTTTCTTACTTCGATCATCGAAAATAATTCAACGTTCAGGATTCTTTTAATAACCTTTCCACTCGGATGTCACCGATACGGAGACACCTATTCATGTAAAAATGGCATTTCCGTTGAATTCTTTTTTCATACTGTAAGGTAATCATGTCAAATACGTAAATTAAACAACGAAATCTTTTGCTTTATTAACTGCTACAAAATTTTTATTTCTCAATTCGACTATGAATATCATAATATTTTAATACCAGTCTATTTCCAAGGACTTCATCAGCCACCGGTGAAACAAAAACATTTTGCAACGAAGCAACCTATCGTTTCGCTGTCGTTCGGGCAGTCACGCGTAAGATAAACGCGCGAAATCCATTGTCTTCCCATAATATGTATAACGCGAGAACAGAGAACACCGTTAACAGGCCGCTTGGCGCAGTTGTTCGGGAAACAAGGGAACAACGGAAAATTAAATTAGCCGGGTATGGAGCGGCCGAAATGAAACGCGCGAATTTAATTAGCATCGCGAAGGTCGCGTTTTACGGTCGTTCGCAAATCTACGAAAACGAAACGGAACGGAACGGGAGCCCGTTCCGTTCTACGCGCTGCATATATCCATATCTCTTTCTCCGACGTTTTTGCCCCCTACCCGCGGCCATGGAATCGAGTATACCTATAACCGTCCGCGAAACCGTGAGTTTGCATTGCAGATTGGAAACTACATTCCGATTTTTCGCGGACGATTTTTTTTCCATGGAGCATTCACTTCGACGCTCGGCTCTCTCTCTCGCGGCGGGTTCTCCCTATCTTGTGGCTTAAAACACCCTTCGGCACAGTCCTTTCACCTCGGATACTATGCCCGGAAAATGGTAAATGCCCGCTTACTTTTTTGCCCCGCGAATCCGAAAAACCGCAGGGACAAAGCAAGGAATTTGAAAACCCTAACGAAGCCCATGAAAATAAAAGCTGCTTCCCAGCGCGGAATGCGAGAAATGCCCGATTCTAGGCTGCTCCGTGACAGAGATGTATTAGGTCGAATCGAAAAGAGCTTCCGTTCCAGTCTGTCAATTTTATTTGCCAATGTAGCTATCGACAATGGTATCTTTATTATTTATGCAATTTATTGTGCATTCATTAATAATTACACTGTTTCAGGATGAATGCCTTGAAATAATTTGTTGACAGGGAAAGAAATTTATTTCACGCTCGATCTACCATCTATTGTTAATATGCATCGATAAATAATTCAAGAAAGTTTGAACGTTTTATAAGGACATAGTCTTCTACGTCATTTTTTAAGACAATTAATTATTAATACGTAATTAGGTGTTCCAACTAAATATCTTAATATGATATATAAATATATTAATATATTTATATAATATCTAAACATTATAATATTATTATCTGTTCTAACTAAATATCTATCAACGATGGTAGCAAGTTCTTATAGACAATTTAAGAAAAAAAACTTTTCATGTTTTTCATATGAGAAGATGTTCACACGATAGTGCGATCATTTTTATGACGTTATCGCATCATGTATTAAATAATATCGTGTACACATAACGATAGTCTCAAATCACACTCAACTAAGTTTTTTTACTGATAAGGACCAGAAGCTATATAAGCGCGGAATGATGAAATTACCAGAAGAAGATGGCAAAAGGTCATCGAATGGAATGGAAAATATTTGACTGATTAAAGTTCATTTCTCGCGTATAGAAAAAATTCATTACTACATTGAAGCACCGAAATTACTTTCATGCCAACCCAGTACAAACCAATTAAAAATACTGTCTTCAATCATTTGAATACAGGGTGTCCCAGGTTTTAATGTTCAAACTTTGTCAATATATTCTATGGCACAAGTAAGAAAAAAATGTTATGTAAACATAGGTCATATAGAGCTTTATTAAGAAGTTATAACAAAAATTCGTTCAATGAAATGAAAGAGAATAGAAACGAAATTCGCACGGTCATAAATTTGATCTTCGATCGATGTCAATCATGTATTTGTCAACAACGGTAGACATTTTGAAATGTATTAATAAACACAGCTTACATAAACACACGGCATGTGCTGATCTATTCAAGCCAATGCTCGCAGTAACAGCAAGTTGATTACTATTCCTATTCTGAATTTTTGTTA